TCTTCATATTTAATATTGACATTTGAGAAAAATATATGGAATGTATGTATAATTTCTTATCAGACTAGTTCATAATTTCCTGCCACTGTATTTTGTGTAATAAATTATGTTGGTGTTTTAATACGTTTTAATAACGCAATTTTTTAAATTACTTTACATTCTCTTTATGAGTTAAAATTGTCGGTATTTTATTTTTATTTATGACATGAATGATACCTAAAGCAGTACCAATTTCTTTTTTATGTTTATTCTATTTTTTTTCTTTGTTATACTAACAATGACAATAATCATATATTGTTTTCACTGGTATTTATGCTAAACAACATATTGAAATAGTCACTATGTACTATTCATCAAACAATGTTATTACAGTGTTGTAAAAATATAAATTCTAATTTTGTATTCTTATTGTAGCAATCAAAATAATTCTAATTATGTAATCACAATGTGTCAACAAAAAAGTATGATGTAAAACTATTCATACTCTGCTATAAATACCATCATACATACACCTAAAAGAAGCATAATAATTTCCTTCACAGACTGACCAAAATTAGTATCAGTTAAAAGTTCTGGTATTACAGAAACTGTTGCTATATAAACAAATCCTCCAGCTGTAAATGGAAGAATCCACATTGTTGCAAAATCACCTAAAAAATTGAATTAAATTGTAGATTAAGTATTTGAAATTTGATTATAATTCTCACCCATGCCTTCTGCAAGTAATGATACAAAAGTCCCAAATAAAGCAGCGCTAGCAGTACTCAGTTGAAGCATTATAGCCTGGAATTGAAGTAATATTTCACAATCTTTCATTAAAATTTTATTTTACCAATTGCATTTTCTAAATCTTACTTTTTTCTTACTATAGCCACTTTGTATTAAAATAGCAAAGTCTCCTATTTCATGAGGTACTTCATGCAATAAAATTGTAAAAGTTGTAATGTAGCCAATATTTTTACCAACTAAATAACTAGCTCCAATAGCAAGACCATCTGTGAAATTATGTAAAAAATCTGCAACTAAATTTAAGTAACCAGCAATTTTAAGTTCATTCTGAGAATTTTCTTTTTCTTCTTTCTCTTTAGAAGTTACATCAGATTTATCAGAACTTTTCTGTAGTTTGTTACTATTCTTATTTTCTTCTGACAAGTTTTCTGTGGTAGTATGTACATGCGAATGACTGTGATCAGTTTTTATAATTCTCACTGCTTTTTCAACAATTAAAAATGTAACAATACCTAATAATACACATAAACCAACAGACATATTATGTCCATGATTTGATTCATTGTCGTGACTATGAGAATGTACTTCTTTAGACGAATCATGTACATCAGGAACTAAAGCATGTGGAATTAAATGCAAAAATGCATCTCCTAATAAACCACCGGATGCAAAACTTAATAACATCTTTAGCAGTGGTTCACATTCTTTAGTATTATCTAAAGGTACAAAGAATAAAATAAAAATAGGCGCTGCTGATATGATTAAAGTAGATGCAATAGCTCTAACAACCACTTCATTATAAGTTTTGTCAGACAAAACTGGTTTATGCTGGTGATCATGGTCATCATTTTCATGTTTATATTTATGTATCATATCATGATGATGGATAGAATGTTGTTTTTGCAAATATACTTCATTAGCTTCTTCAGAATACTTAAAACTTGGTGCCTCACCGTTGTCATGAGTTTGACAAAGAGCCGGCAAGTTTAAAAATATAAGTAACAAAAATGTTGCAAGAGCAATTTGTAAAACCCATCTGTTCTTATGGCTCCTTTGTTGGTTATCCTCTGTCATCGTGATCATTTTTACAACTCTGCACATACCTAAAGCACAACTTTCTGCCGTGTTGTTAATGTAATCTTAACATCCATGCATAGAGATGTAAGAATTTCGATATTGTAGTTATGATATTACAAGATAAAACTGTAGCCACGTCAAATGATTGACACGATAAAGATAACTTTAGTATTTTGAAAATAACACATTAATGTTGGTAGAATTGATTTGCTAATGTTGGCTACCCTGAAATATTATAAATTTAAAATTCAAAAAATAGTTACGATAGTAATTATAATACTGAGTTTGGATTGGAAAATTAACGCATTAGTTGATTTTAAAACAAATTTTTTGTTAATAGATAAAAACGTGATGTTAATATAGATGTTAATAATATATATTCAACTTTTAATGCATGTTATGAAAAATTCGTTACATTTTGAAGAATCGAAATTGTGATTGGTGGACGTACTTTCAAGTAACAGCGTGAACTGTCAAGAGCGGGATTTGATAAGGTTAGAAGGAAACAAAATTTCCATCGCACAAATGTCTTTCGTTTAAAAAAATCTTAATATATTTCACAAACATGACACACAATATCCAAAAATCTCTGAGGCATGGATTTTGCGATGCCATTTTTTCAAGTTCGCCTATTAATTTTGATAAAGAGAATACAGATTCTCTCAATAAAAAGTGAGTTCCTTTCCTTTATATTCTTAATAACACGAAGAATTTATTATATGTTATTATTATATATTATATTTTATGCTATTTTTTAGGGAAGAAACGTGTTCTGATGTGTTGGACACACCTCACAAAGGAATTCAAAGTCAAAATGAAAATAGATATTCAAAACGTGAAAAACGCAAAATATTATTTAATAATGATATAGTTGAAAAGTCAAAACTAACAAATACGCCTTTTACTGAAAATTTAACTCGTCCAAAGTCTGTAAATATATATCAAAGAAAACAAGTTTTATTTCCTGAGAATACAGTACCTGATACAAAATGTAAAACTTCTACAAACATATCTACAACTTTATTGAATGATAAGACTCCAACTATGCAGTTTTGTACTCCCAAACAGTATAAAATGCGTACTGCTATAAGCAATACAAAGATAAATATTTTACGTCCAAATAGAACACCTATAAAACGTTACTTTAGTGACAATGTATTAGCACAAGCTACTCCTGATTGCTTCAGTGTGGTACAAGTAGAAACACCATGTAGTAAATCAAATGAAATGGGTATAGAAGACCAGACAGTATATGAAGAAGAAAACAGTAATTTGACTGTGGGAATACGTGTTAGACCTTTAAATGCAAAGTAAGTTTTCATATTGAGAAATCTCTGTATTTATATTATATTTTAATGTTTCTGTATTTGCTATTACTTTAGAGAAGTAGCTGATTCAAAAGTTACACCAATTGTGGAAGTAAATGGTCAAAATATTGTTATTACTTGTGAATCTGCTCAGCATAGTTTCATGTATGATCACTGCTTTATGTCACATGTGGATGCATCAAAACCTGGTCATGCTAGTCAAGAAATTGTGTTTCAAAATATGGTTTTACCATTGGTACAGAATGCTTTTGAGGGGTATAATGTGTGCTTGCTTGCTTATGGACAAACAGGCTCTGGTAAAAGTTATAGTATGATGGGTCAAGAGTCAGCACAAATGAATACACTATTAATTGATGAGGCAAGTGGTATTATTCCAAGATTCTGTCAAGAAATATTTACAAGAGTATCTGCTAATATGGATACTAATACCACAGTAGAAATTAGTTATTTTGAAATTTATAATGAAAAAATACATGATCTTTTAACAAATGTTAATAATGGCATAAAAAGAGCTCCTCTTAAAGTAAGGGAACATCCTATTGTTGGTCCATATATTGTTGATTTAAGCCAGCATTGTGTACTAAATTATAAAGATCTGCAGGTATGTTTATAATAGCAGTTGTAATTGTTTATTATAATATTAATTCTTTATTTTA